AAAATAGTTTCAAAAGCATTGTTTAGAAGACTACAAAAATTGTGCTTTAAAGTTGATAGAAAGGCACCTGATCTCTGAGGTTCTTTGGGCAAGAAACGAGGAAAAAACCTAGAAATCACAGGTTTATGGGCACATGCACCAAAAAACATACAAAAACCCTGATCTTCACTCTTAAGTCAGTCTCCAAAGGAATGAAGTAACTAACATTTACTGAATATTTCCTATGTGCTAGTTACCAAGCAAACAATGATCCTAACAACCTAATGAGCTAAATACTATCACAAATTTAACAGATAAAACTGAACTTTAAAGAAGGTAGGTCATTTTCCCAGGATCTCACACAAGTAATTATCAAAGCAGATACAAAGTCAGATCTGACATAAAGGATGTGCTTTTAAATGACTGTACTCATCCTGCCATTCCTACTACTCTGAAGTAAAGAAATAAACTCCAAGTGAAGCACAGAAGTTTCACTGGTGGCCTGCTACTAGTGGGGCCCTTCAGGAACTTTCTTACTAATTCTAGTACCCTGTCCCATGCTTTGATAACTGGAGACATATGAAATTAATATTCTTTACAATTTAGTTCAAATTGCACTTTATCTTATAAATATTATATTAAATTCTTTGATATGGGAGTGTGGATATTCGCTGATTTCAGTATAAATGAAATTTCCTTTTTCTGTTCTTTTGGTGTTATTTTTGATGGTTCTGAGAATAAACAAAAAAAGTAAAAATGTATACTTTCTAGACTTCAGATAGACTGGCAGGCAGCAGGAGTGGAGGCACAGAAACACACTGGAGGCCTCTGCAGTAGTTCAGGTGTCCAGAACTAAAGTAAAATCTAAGTTATTAAGAAAGAGAATTAATAAAAGTTGTTGACTCACAGAAATTAGGAGTGACAGATGACTGCCAGGATGTGAAATACAGGAAAGAAGTGAGAAAATAAATAAGAATGGGGCCGGCCCGGTGGCGCACTGCTACAGTGCGCCGCTTGGGAGCGCGGCGGCGCTCCCGCCGAGGGTTCGGATCCCACATACAGACCGGTTCCCGCTCACTGGCTGAGCGAGGTGCGGGCGCAGCACCGAGGGTTGCGATCCCGTTGCCGGTCCCGGTCCGGCCGGTCCCGGTCCGGTACGGGCGTGACACTGAGGGTTGCGATCCGTTGCCGGACACGAAAAAAGACAAAAAAGGAAAAAAAAGAAAATAAACAAGAATGTAGTGTAGGGCATGTCATTTACAATTCTATGTACCTTCCTCCCATATGACTACTTGAGGACTGGCTAAATTAAAGATTTGCCAGCATGAGTGTGGATAGGTCCTATAAATTAACAGACATGGAAAACTAATGATATGGGCTCAGAGGCCCAGAATCTGAAAGAAGAGACCTAAGACCATTAAGGCTCTCAAATAAAAACAAAAAACAAGACTATTACTCAAAGTACACACTTCAGGAAGTTGATCTTGACTGACCTCACATGTGTGATCACTGTAACACACAACACAGTGAGGAGAGCTGAGAAGTCTCTACTGACACTCTCCTCAAGGCTACTTGAACATGCTTGAATATCACTCACTGATAAACTATTTAGGAGAACAAAGTTAAGTCTTTGTAATTGTTAGTTTTATATATTCCAGTGTAATAAGAACTCTGGTACAGATAAGATACATATATATTTGATATGCATATATTTTATCGCAAATTAATTATAAACAGAACTTGCAAGAACAGTACAAAGAATTCCTTCTTATATACCTTTCACCCAGATTCACCAGTTGTTAACATTTTGCTCCATTTGCTTTATCACTCTCTTTTCTCTATATATTTTTCCTAAACTTTTTGAAAGTCAACAGACACACCCTTTTATCCCTAAACACTTCAGATGTACTTAAGAGCAAAGACTTTCACTCACATAATCACAGACCAATTATCAAAATCGGGAAGTTTAACATAGATAGAATCTAATCTGCAGAATTCATATGTTGCCAACCATCCCAATAACATCCTTCTTTAACAAATTTTGTCTTTCTGGTCTAGGATCTGATCTAAAATCACACTGTGCATTTTTCATGACTCTGTAGTCTCCATAATCTGGCACAATTAGTTTCTCAGCCTTGTTATTTTATGACACAAACACTTTTTTACACTACAAATCAGCTGTTTCACAGAATGTCCCTCAATTGGGGTTTACCTGATATTTCTGCATGATGAAATTCAATGTTATGGTTTTTTGGCAGAAATATCATAGAAATGATACTTTATCTTTCTCAGTACATCACATCAGGAAGTACAGCATGTATCACTAAGCTCTATTACTGGCAACATTAACTTGGGGCATTTCTCAACTGTAAAGTTATCATCTCTCACTTTGTGATTATTAAATAATTTATGGGGAGATACTTTTAGATTGTGTAAATGTCCTATTCTTCATAAAACTTTCACTCACTAGTTTTATCATCCACTGACGATTCTGTCCTGAATCACTTATTACCATGATGGTTGCAAAATGATTTTATAATTCTTTCATTCCTGCAAATTTAATAGCTGACACTCTACAGCAAGCAGAAGCTTTTCTTTACAACCCATGTATTTATTTATTATTAAGAGTATAGATTCTCGGGCCGGCCCAGTGGCGCACTGGAGAGTGCGCCGTCTGGGAGCGCGGTGGTGCTCCCGCCGAGGGTTCGGATCCCATGTGGAGACCGGTTCCCGCTCACTGGTTGAGCGCGGTGCGGGCGCAACACCAAGGGTTGCGATTCCATTGCCGGTCCCCGGTGCGGGCGTGACACCGAGGGTTGCGATCCCGTTACCGGTCAGTAAAAAAGACAAAAAGGAAAAAAAAAAGAGTATAGATTCTTATTTAATTCAATAGGTTTATACTCCATTTTATTTTGATATTCAAATAGTCCCAGATATGGTAAGTGGGAGGTCCTTCTAGCTGATTCCTATGTCCTTTCAACATGTCCCCACCATGTGTCTGAGCACTGCCTTGCTTTCTGGTACAAAATGTTGCATTTTGTTCTTTCCTTGTACCAGCCCTGGAATCACCCATTTCTCTAAGTGCTGAATCCTTTCAGCAGGAGATCGTTTTTTAGAAACTAGATCTGGTCTCAAGATTTGCTCACAGTTAATAGCACATAAGTGCTTCGAGGCCCTTTCAGCAGAAACAGCTAGGAGATATATAATGTTTTTATAAATTGTATTTTTAAAAATTATATCTAACTTAAGAAAAGCAATACATTTCCCACTATAGCATTTAGGCAACATATACCTAAACAGAAATATCCACAAAAAAACTGTAGAATAAAATCCTCTTAATTTCTGGTTAATTTTCCCTTTTAAAATTTGTGTAAATTTTTCTTCTACTACACAGTAAGCTAGTCATATAAATCTTTCAATTTTATGAAAATAAAACTGTGATCTGGTCACTTTAGGTTTAAAAGTCAAAGCTAGAAGAATCTCTTTTCCAGTGGTAAGAGTAAAGAGGACTTAACAAAACCCAAGAATAATCAATATTTGAAAAATAAGAGAATACAGAGAACTTTAAGCCATTTTTTTCTTCTAAGATTATAAAAAGTACTAAAATTAAATTACCAACTTAATCAGAGGAGAGAAATTAATCTGAAAGGAGAGAAATTAAAACTAATTTTAAAGTACTAATTCTTTTGCCCTCCTTTACCAACATTAAGAACTACTAGAATTGTCTGAGGGTTAAATCCTTGAAAACAACTATTCTTCATTTCCACACAACAAACAGAGGTAGTTGGATCAATAATTTCATGTGAGAAAATGGAAAATGGGCTATTCATAGGGACCTACGTGAATGCCTTAGGTGCTTACACATCACAGCACATCTGATATCGGGACAGGCTGATATGAAGCTTTTTTTATTTGCTTTCCTAAATCTGTTCCTCAGGTTATTCAATTTTATCATAGACTCTCTTGAGTAATCATTTTACCTAACCAGCATTTATTAATGTCTACTTTATTTCCAGAGTTGAGCTAGGTGCTCCCTCCAAATACACCTCCTCTTTGACTTTACCAGCAAGTGCTTCAGTCCCTCTCTTTTTACTTACTCTATCACCTCTTCTTACTCACTCCACCTCATTCCCTACCCTACAGTGTAGTATATCACTTCAGCCACCCTCTTGGTAGAATCCTCAGGATATTTCTGCATGATAGATTCAGTGTTATGCTTTTTTGGCAGAACACTTGCCCTTCAGGTAATACTACTCTGTAAACTGCTAATGAAGAAGGCTGGCCTAAGATTTTCCCAGCAATACACCACTAATTATTCCTTCATATCTTTAATGATTCCTTCATATCTCCTTCCTTCAATATATAAAAGTGCTGAAAGTATCTTGCATGCAAAAAAACAATTTCATCTTTTAAAAAATCCAAGCTTCTAAAATAAAAGCTTTACCTCCCATTTATTCAACTCATTGCAATCTGGTTGTTACCCTGATCTTTTCCCTTTTCCTCCCCTCCAAAAGTTATTATTTCTTCCTCATTTCTGTTTTACTCTATTCTTCCTCACTCCAACTGCTTGAGTTCAGCCTTTATCCTACTGCGGTAATGTCCTAACTCATCTCATCGCCTCTAATATCATCTCTCCTTCTAATGCCCCCTTTCTCATCTACCTCTCTACTCTTTATTTATTTGTCAAGATCTAGCTCATGTATTTATCCCTCTGCTAAGACTTCCCAACCATAAGTAGAGGTCATCAGTCCTTTTGTGACACTACTTCATCTATGTATTTATTTCTATTACAGCATATCACACTTTAATGTAATTGTCAACATGTCTGTCTCCCTTTCTAAACCGTGTTTTCCTTAAAGTCAATGGTTGCTTTTTATCGATCACTACATCCTCTATGCCTATCACCCCTAATAGGTGTTCAATAAGCACTGCTGAATAAATAAAATTAAAGAGTAGAATACAGAATGAATTTATAATTTCATACAAATAACAGAAGCATGAATGTTAAAACATGTCCTTACCTGGTAACTAACTGTTTTCTTCCCGTCATTCCTAGTCTGAGGTAATGTCAAAGGTCCAGATACTACCCAAACATCTTCAAACCTCTCTGTCAGTTCTCGACAGTACATTTCTATTCTGAAAAACAAAGCAAAAAAAATGTATAATATTCTCAGAGACATACATGGAGAAAAGCAGCAAACTATATAAGTCTGCAGGAAAGATATCAAGAATACTACACTCTAGAAATTAACTTAAACAAGAACATGGCACAAAACATTTTAAGCATATAAGCAATGATTTTCCCAAAGTCTGCTGCACAAAAAAACTTAAAAATCACACACGAGACAACCATCTACATTTTTGTGTGCACTCAGCATACATTTTAGAACTGAAATTTTATTAACTTAAAACATTTTTCAATGCCATAGTTCTCAAATGTTTTTCAGGAATTATACATCATTCCAATAAGTTGATATACCTTAGTTATTTAACCATTCCTACTGCAGGACAATTGGATTTATCTTAATTAACATTTCTCACATAATGCAACATTGTAGTAATTCCTCACGATAAATTTCAAGAACCAGAATTACTGAATAAATATTTTAGTGACTCTTGATAAAACTAATATTTTTAATAGGGTTGTACCAATTTACTCTGTAAGCACCAAAATATGACACAGCAGTTTCACAACAGTCTTTACAACACTGGAATTTATCATTTAAAAAATGTTTTTTGTGAATTTACCAGATAAAAATGGCATATAAGCATTTTCTTATATTGCAGTTGGAAGAGATTTCTGAATGACAGGTAACAATGCATTTCATCATTCCCTAGTTTTCTTTACTATAAAGTAAAATCAAATTATTTTTTATAGCACATATGCCCATTATAAGGCATAAAGTTTTCCTCCCCAAAATTTATCCCTTGGGAAAAGAAAAAGTTAAATTCTTCCAGAGGTATGTAATCTGCAATCCCAGAATATGGAAAGGAACTCTATAAGACAAACATCCCAGATCTTCAACAAATATTTGCAAGGAAATAACAAAGAGAAAGGGAAACCTACAGATTAACAGTGACTTTAGAAATATATCAATCAAATCTATGCATGGATCTTGCTTGAATACTGATTCAAACCAACCAACGAAAACACAACAAAATGAAAAAGACAATCAGGGAAATTTGAACATTGACTGTAAAACTGGTAATAAGGAATTACTGTTAAATATTTCAAGGCAACAATAGTACTGTGCAGGTATCACTCATAAGTGGGAGCTAAGAGAAAAAGAAGAAAGAAAAGAAAGACCACTCGCAGAGGAAGAGAGCGTATCTAGAGATACAAAGTAGAGTGGGGGAAAGGGGGATGGGGAGGAAGGTCAGGGATAACTGGGTGGGAACACAGGATATAATCACAATTTGTGGTAATGGGCATGCTGCCAGTATGGATGTGGACATCACATCTTGGGCACGAGTGGTGACAATCAACTTTGTACCCCATGAAGAGTCACAACCAATTAAAAATAAATAAAATAAAATAAATTTAAAAAAAATATTACTGGCTATATTTTAAAAGAATCTTTATGTTCTAATCTTTATCTTCTATATTTGAAAAGAATCTTTATCTTAATATATCTTCTATACGTTAAAATATTTATAGATAAAAATAATACATCTGCAATCTGCTTAAAATAATGAGTGGAGGGAAGGGACAACATGTAGATTAAAAAATGTGGCCATGACTGATAACTGTTGAAGTCTTTTTTTAGTGGGGTGCTGTCTTAATTACTTTAAATCATAAAGTATTATATGAGGAAAACACAATAGGTTGAAACAACCTCAGTGCTAGTTCTAAATGCTTAAAGAGACCACCTGACAACTTGCTAACCGTGTCAGAAAAATGCAGAAGGCCCAAATGACTTTTTGGGTTCTATTAAAAACTGATTAATGGTTATGTTAAACTGTACCAAAACATTTTTTAAAAGCTCAGGAACATTGCAATACCAGAAAAAAATAGAGCATCCTCTGGATACACATAAAAAAGACATTACTGCCTCGGTTATTAATATTAGTTTGAGTAGTTTCTTCCAAAACTTGACTTTTGAACAGTAGCAAACATAATCAAAAAGCAGACCGTATTTTGAAGTCTGTTCTCCTACAGAAGACTGCACTCCCAAAATATAGCAAAGAAAACTGTTCCAAAGTATGTACCTTCAATAGGGTTCTTTTGAAAAACAAAGAAACAGTTGATAGACAAGTTCATACATTCCCCTGTCACATCATTCATCTTTCACAGAATTTAGCTTATTTTAAAAACTCTCACCCCTTACCTGTTCCAATATCCAGAATTATTATCAATATTCTGAGGCACAATATTAGAAAGGTAAAATGTTTCAGCCATGGCTTTCTGGAAAAAGAAATAAAAATAGTAACTCGCACTGAAATGCCCTCCCCTTTAAAAGATACTTTACAAAGCAGTCACTTATTCATAACTTATTAGCTCTAGGCAGTTGGTGACTACTTGTTTAGATAAATGAAAGCCATAGTTGTTCCAGGACACAAAGTTCTATAATGATTACTCAAAATAAGGACTATAACAAAGTAGTTTGGTATGCTTAGTTTTCTTTATCATTTATAAAACCCAAATCTGTACTGTAAACTCTAAGAATTAATTAGTTTATATTAGAACTAATATAAACTAAAAGTTTCTAATATAAAGCTTAAGGGTAAATTCTGGTTTTAAGGCTCTAGCACAGTTTCTCGACAAAGGTCAACTTTCAGGAATTTTATTTAAGTAGCATAGAACAAACGTATTAGTTCAAAAGTGGTAAAGAAAAATTCCTTGTTCTGAATTTCTGGCCACAATGTGTTCATTCACTTCATACTTCTGACTCACATCCACAAGACTATCTCATACTTCTTTTCATTCATCTATACTAACTGCCAATGCCACAATTACCTTCTCTTCAAACGGTGGCTCTCACTTTTGGATGCACAGCAGAACTGGGAGCTTTAAAAACATTTATACCTGAGTCCCATACCCTAGAGTTTCTGATTTAATAAGTCTGAGGTATAGGTCTGGGGATCCAAATTTCTGAAAATTCCCCAAGTGACTATAACTATAATGAGTTCTCTCCAAGTTTGAGAATCACTATCTTAATGACAATAATCACCAACAGTTCACATAATAAATGTCAATGTAGTGAAAGATATTCTCCCCTTTTCTGGTAGGAAAATTATTCTAGATTAAAGGAGACTAAAGAGATATGACAACTAAACATAAGGTATGATTCATGATTGGATACTGGATCAAAAAAAAAGCTGTAGGGCCGGCCCGGTGGCGCACTGGAGAGTGCGCCGCTTGGGAGCATGGTGGTGCTCCCGCCGAGGGTTCGGATCCCATGTGGAGACCGGTTCCCACTCACTGGCTGAGCGCAGTGCGGGCGCAACACTGAGGGTTGCGATCCCGTTGCCGGTCCCAGGTACGGGCGTGACACCGAGGGTTGCGATCCCGTTACCGGTCAGTAAAAAAAAAAAAAGACAAAAAGGAAAAAAAAAAGCTGTAAAGAACATAAGTGGGACTATTTGGGAAATCAAAATATAAATTGTATTTGAAATAAAACTGTATTTTAGATTACTGCATATACAAAAATACATCCATATACACTTCTTTGTATAAAGATAATCTTGTCAAATATTATATACATCATATATACAAATATTCTCATTCTCAGATGATACATGCTCCTGATCAATCTATCTAGGAATAAATTATCATAAAGTCTACAACATTCTGTCAATCATTTTATATATAAATATATATATATTTATGCATTGTAAAGTGAATGTATCAAAATGTGTTTGCTGCACTATTTTCTCAACTTTTCTACACATCTGAAATTTTTCAAAATTAAAATGAGTGACAGCTTCAGCTCCCAGTGGCTTCCAATTCCCTTTTACGTGGCATTTTGGTTTTTTCCCCTCATTCGACCTGTTTAAAAATGTCTTGGCCTATGACCAAAAAAAAAGGGAGAAACAAAATATGGAAATACTCAAGTTTTAAGGTTTGACTCCTACGTTTTTAATCTCCAAGTCCCATGGTACCTGTAACATTAGCCCCATATTCCCAATCTTCCCCCAAAATATGCCTACACTTGAAAATTTGTTATTTCCTGCTGGAGCCATGTGTCCTCGTGACCACCCACTTCCAACATAGTCCTCATTGAAGGCACTGAAGGTTGGAGGGATGTTAGGATCAGGCTTAAATTTACAGTGTTTTCTGTCTGCATCACCTGAAGAAAAACACACAAAATGGGTAAGTTATTAGTGGACGAATATTCCTCAAGATTCTCTAAGCAAGGCAAGCTGGTTGCTCCTGGTTGGTAACTCTCCAAGCAGCTAGTATTAGGGATTGCATGCATGTCTCAAGTTCCTGGGATAGCTCAGATACCTCATCTCAATTTAGAAAGGACTTATCTAGGAAAGAATGCTTTTCATACAGTGTAGTTATCTCATATAATTTTAATTCTGGCCTCTCCAGTTAAAGAAAAACTCCCCTGGATAGTACTTAAGTAAAAACAATGACTGAAGCAAACGGAAAGGACATTCTTGGGGGGGAGGGGAGAGAGGGAGGAGGGAGGGAGGTGTCGGTGATGGGCCATAATAACCATATACATTGTATATTGACAAAATAAAAATTTAATGAAAAAAAAAAACAATGACTGATCAAACAACTAAGCTGTATAAAAAGCTTGGCTACAAAATATACTATTGTTTTTTAGAAAGACGCCCATGTATCATATTTTTTTAAATTGTATTTTGACAAGTTTATGTGTACTGAAATAATGGATATATATAGACACAAAACAATTTGTTCTGGGCAGGCACAGCCTAGGGGAGGTGGGGAGGGGAGTGTCTCTGATATCTTACTGCCTCTTAAGCCTTGACAAAACAAACACTGAAACTGTGAGCTCCATCCAGAAATTCCTAAAACAGAATATCTGAGTACCACAGGAAGAGACGAAATCTCAATTTTTACTTATTTTCTGACACCTCCAGAATAGTTTGCTGAGAACATGAGCAAATCCTAATACTACATTTTCCACTGTCCTTAGGTCAGACCTTGATAAACTACAAAAATTATGATGACAAATGGGACATAGACTGCTAAGAAGTATAAAATGGAGATCAATAAAGTTACCAATTACAACGTTGACTTCATTCAGCCAAGAATAATTTAAAGTTATCAGATCCCAAGGTTCAGAGTAAAGTATCTAGTATATGGCTTTTTAGAATCACTTCATAAAGAAAAAAATAACTGGTAATACAAAAGGATTACCATTAGTAAACTTCTAAATGTTATTACCAATGGAACTACTTTCTTGTATGCCTAGTTATCTTTGCTTAATGCTCACTGCCCTTCAAAAATCATTTGCAGGAATTTCCTAAGGCCTAAGAAGATGCCTTCCTTGAGAAAAGATGTAAATATACTTCTATCAGGTGTCTAGCAGCATTACCAGCAGAAGAACATATTAAACCAAGCTCAGGGATTAAGGTTCCCTGATCTATACATGATGCATAGATTTGGGCTGCAAGCCCATATGATAGCCAGTTTGTGGCCTCAGCTTCTCCAGAACAAGCTTTTTGTTTTCCTTTTAACCCTTCTCTGCTTAGTGCCAAGACAACTTTCCATTAGTCCCCTACAGTGGACAGGCAGGTTCTGGCTCATTCTTCCCCAAGAGAGCAGACCTTTGGGGTTCCAGGCTAATGTGGGGTCTCCTACGAGAAAACCTACCTTGGTCGAACCCTCAGTCTTTCCTTCAATCCTCCTCACCCAATAAGGCTATGGAATCAAAGGCAAATGTGGCTTTGGTTTGCCAGGACTGCCCTTTCCTCTCTGGATTCTGGCTTTCATCCAAATATTCGCCTGGCAATTCTCCACCATCCTGTTGGCTCGTCACTTTTTTGAAGTGATTTCTTAAAATACACTTTTTATATACTGCTAAGAGCACTTCCTGTTTTTTTTAAAGGGAGACATTCTGAATCACCTACATTAGTTGCCCTGTAGCACCAAGTACATTGCAAGCATCTTGCTATTCTGCTGGTTGCTGTGCACTCTGGAAAGGCACATGCTCATTTTAATATCAGCATTTTAGTATTCATAGAAAGCACGCATTTTAAAGCAAAGGAGAAGTAATACGTGAATCATCATTTAGCAAATTAAAAGGCAAATAACGGGCCAGCCCGGTGGCGCACTGGATAGTGCGCCGCTTGGGAAGCGCGGCGGCGCTCCCG